TTGAGATTGAAAATAGCCATGTAAACTGCATGGCAAAGGCTACCGTGTAAGGATTAATCCTGGAAAGCTCAAGGTTACATTAAGGTGAGTTCTAATTGCATTCCGTTGTTATTTTATATACTTTCTCCTTAAAGTCTATACTGTACAATACAATAGTTTAATAAAGTAGTTTATCTAACTGTGTCTGACAAGAAGATGAGTTACAAACTTACACAATGAATAATGCATCAGGGCTTTAGCTAACCCCGAAGGCACAGAACCTAAGGTGCAGTTTACACTTTATAACTCCAAGGTTTCCAAGTTTTTCAAAGGCAGATACCAATATATTTAAGATCAGTTACTTTTGAATTCAAAACATTTTAGGCATATAAAAATATAGAAATACATACATACATTAATACAATTCCCCACCGGGATTTAATTCCCAGCAAAGTGTAGAAAACTCTAAAATCTAATATTTAACAATAATGTGTCGAAACTCTGTAAAAACTGTTTTGAAATTATTTCCAACAAAATCCATAATAGAGCAGTTTGAAAAAACCCTCAGAGGTCGAGGATGAACCAAGTTTGTTTTCTGCCTAAACATTTACCTCCCCCCTCAATTTAGCTTTCATTTGAATACAACTTATTATCACAATGACAGACTAATTTGAGGAGTGATAAAATAGAGGAGAATAAAAAGGTAACTAGTGTGAAGAAAGTTGTGATGCATTTATGTTGAAACATCTGATTCAGGGTTAGGATTAGTACCCTAGAGTTCCCATGTCAATTTATGGTCAGTCACAACCCCTAGGGTTTTTATATAAAAAACTCTTTCATTCATCTCAATTTCAACAAAAGATTTTTTGATTCGATATCCCCAGCATTGTCTTTTTGATTTAGTTTTCCTAATATTAAGAGACAATTTAAACCACTTTTTGAGAATTTCCAGCTCCCAAATCAATTTTTTCCCAGAACAAAATCAACTTGTATCGTCATACAATAATAAAGTCAGATATCCTCCACAGCTGAGTAAATAACATATAAGCAGTAAAACAGAAATTACAAATATGAATGTACAGTAAGAACAAATGCTCTCAACACAATGATACAACACATTCATGCACATTAGGAACCATTTGGAAATAAATATATAAATGGTCACTATCTTCCAAACAGTAAAATACACAAAAAATATTTTGGCACTGTGTAACCCTCCCTATATTTTTCTTTGTTGTGAGCTCCTCATAGGCAGCATGTTGTCCTGTATCTGTATCCACCTCTCCCTCAGATCAAACCAATGCATACTGACTAGGACTGTGTATTGCCAAAAATTGGGCAATACAATATGTGTCATGATACAGGGGTTACAATTCAATATATTGCGATATATTGCAA